AGGTATTCCATCGTTCTCCTGATGGGCAGAATTGTCAAAAATCGATACTGTCAGGCAACATTGTCTTCGCGTAGTAAATACACAAACCCAACTTGATGGTAATGGGGAACAAAATTTATTTGTGGGTATTGCCGTTAGATGTCATATTATTAAGCTGTTCCAATTATCGATTATGTGTTTTCGTTAGTGTCCGGTTGATTATATCAGCGCTTCGATCGATTCGGAGTTGGCCCCAAAGGAGTCTCCCTCCTTAAGGGGGGAGACTCCTTTGGGGCCAACTCCAAATTCATCGAAGTGCTGATGTAAACAATCGGACGCTAGCGAAAACACATAATCGATAATTGGGACGGTTTGTTAATACAACATCTAACGACAGTACCTACAAATAAATTTTGTTCCCCGTTACCACCAAGTTGGGTTTGTGTATCTGCTACGCGAAGACACTGTTGCCGGACAGTATCAATTTTTCTTACGCTGTTGCCTCATGTCCCGTATTACAATTCTGCCCATCAAGAGAACGATGGAATATCTATGGCCAACGGCTCGTGGCGAGATTTGAATTCTCACCGAACGTAGGAAAAGAATGACGCGACCGAAAGAGATTCGAGAATGAAATAATATTACGTACTAATGTGTGCAACCATAAACCTTTTCTATTGGTACTTGCAATGATGCTTATTTTTTTAATCAATGGAATTACATCCGAGATACTTGAAATGGTATTCCCGAGAAACAAATTATAACAATGGCACAATATATATTCCGCGTATTCCATATACAAAAAGCATGGAATGTACTATACAAATCTGCTGTTTGAAATGCTATTTATTTATCTTTTATTGACATAATTGATATGGGTATTATATGCGTACACATATATTTCGTAAGAAGGACGCTAAAAGAACATGGAATGGACAACTTTATTCGATGAGAATTTATGCACTGAATAAAGATACTTTTTTTATTTCAGAAGCAAATATTTCCTCGTTTTTACAAAAAGCCATAAAAATTTATCCCAAACGAGTCTCCGGAAAAGTTAAATTCTCCATCCCGGACAAGTCGGACAGCAAGCAATGCGGGTATTTTTTACTTTTTACGAGTTGTATTATCATATAGACTTGAAATGAAATGAATTTTTAAAATTTTGTAGTTTAATAATCGTTTTATTTGTTATACTTTAAGAAATTAGTAGACTGTATGTTGATTTGTATTGACATGGAACGAGCCAGGATGGAATGGATGTCTGGTGACAGCCGCGGGGCAAAGTAAATGTACACGTTTTGGTTTTGTGATTAATTTATTGAGTCAGTGTGTAATAAAAACAAGAAAGTAAGCAAACCTGCAAGGTGTGAATAGTGTGATCAGTCCATGTGAGTCTGAATGATAAGAACTAATGTAGAGAGCCTTTTATGATAAAGTGAATAGCCACATAATGAATGTTTTGTTTTTGTAAGAGAGTCGGAATGAATTGAGTAGTGTATGATTACCGTGCAGTGGATGTGGAATGACTGTGATGATAACTACAACCAGGTGGTCGTAAAGCACCTCGTACCCTCAGATGATTAGCTCGAAGAATAGGTCGATGTCTCGTTGGATGAGTTGAGCTGGTTCTCTAGTCTGTGAGTCGAACTGTGTGTTGATTGGATGATTTGCACTGGTGTTACGTCCCGCGTTGCGGTCGTTACTTTATTTATAATTTCGGGTCCTGGCTCTTTTAAGGTGCTAAAGCACGCCCTGTCTAAACTTACCGGTGAGGTACGCTATTAGGATATGGAACGGGAGGGATAGGAAATCACTCTCGTTTATAATAACAACAGAAATATATTCTAACAATTAAATAAAATAAAAGATACAAATAGTTCTTGACATACCAATGATGATGAAGATGAATGATAGTATCGTGTCGCTTTCAGTCAGTTCGATCGGGATTATGGGTCCTTGAAAGAACGGAACACTTGCTGGCGCTTTTAGCCGTGATACAGGGGTCAGGCACTGCGGGATACGTTGTCGCCGTCTCGGACATTGCACTTCGCGGTCCGGTGTCTTATCGAACTCGCCTGTTAGGCCGCGCGTAATCGCGAAGTCGCGTCGCACAAGCAAGAGATATCGCCGCGGAAACCCAAAACTGAACAGCTGAGCGACCGTTATTACTCAACCCGCTGTCGCGCGTAAAGTTAAAGCGAAGCGCGACTGTCGAAGAGCGAACGAACTTGTCGTGGGTGAAACGACACATGAGCCGAAAGTTAAAAGTGCCGAAAACTAAAAGAGATGTCGTACTGAGAGAGCTTGCCCGGTTTGGACAATCGTTTTATAAGGTCTTCCCCCCTTATTGAAGAACGTGGAATATACGGGGTAGCAACAAGCTATTGTTCGTAAGAGAATTCTCGAGTCGTCGTGGTGTCTTTGGAAATTGCTGATGTTTCCGTTCCGCCGGTCAACGTTCCGTCGGTCAACGTTCAGTCGGTCAACGTCTCGAGGAAGGTTAATTACGCGCGTAGCTTTCACGTGTCGCTGAATTGACGGTTCTCGTTCGCTCTTTGCGTGTAAAGGTGGTTGGAAAAAATATGCAAGGAAAAGAGGACATGAAACTATAGGATATAACACAATAGTAAAGTCGTGACAATAAAAATTGTTATTCATACTGGGAATGGTATTTCATAGCTACAGACATATCTATGTAATTTCATTTTATTTCGAAATAAATTGTACAAATATTATAGAAATGCGTATTCTGGATATTTTAGATACAATTTCAAAACGTAGAATATGACACAATACAATACAAATTTGTTGTTTAAAATTATGTTTACTTATCATTCATTGACATACATGTTGGAACTAATTTTATTTTTTACAACAGTACACGCTTGCGCTCTCTCATTTTCTCACCCTCTCTTTCTTCCTCTTTGTTGATTTGTCTTCTTAACTGGAACAATTAGCCAGCCTCGCTGGCCCGCTTGTAATCGGATGTCGCGCGTTCAATCAGGTGTGGGAAACTTGCCCCTCTTGTCGCATTGCCCAGTGACTCCGTGTCGGATTTGCACTGGATAGGTAAGAATTCCAATTATTAGATATTATCGCATTTCTCATAAAACAAACGACATGACCTTGTTTTCCTTGTAACTTAATCGGCGGTCTCTCATAATTCTTTAAATACATATATTACAAATATAACATTTCCATTAATATTACAAAATAGTGTTGCTGCTTTAGTGACGCTGACGTTTAGGGACATCAACCCCGATGACCTACACCTTGACATATGTTTGCAAGGACACTATCTCGAATAGAGTCAATCTTAGCGATCGCCTACAGCTCGTATATTTACTGTCTTATATTCATTGTGAGGTTTTCCTACCATTACTCGTGACTCGTGCACGCAGGTGAACTGTGCTCCATAAAACGAGGATCCGCGTCACAGGTCCTTCCTACCTCTAGTGGTAATTTGTACGACACAAGGGATAATTAAAAATACGGAACACAATCTGAATGTCTAAAGTGTAATAAAATTTTATACACTTTACACCAGGCTTGGGAATTAACTGCTTGTTTAAGGCGACATTTGTATCAATAGGTTGTTGGATTCCAAGTTGTGGAATTGAGTGGAACACTTAATAAAAGAATCTTGAAAAGGTTTATTCGACTACGCGTAACAGAGTTGTCGTAAGATTCTAAATTATACGTTTCGGAGTTCTCAAGTCTCCGTCGGAACCAGAATTGCGCCCTTTGTCATTTCGGAAAGCTTATATATAATAGTATTAGGTGCTGTGGTGGGGAGAAAGTTGCAATGACCTTTAGCTATAGAGTGACTCAGAAGCTTCCTTGAGAATTTTGGACTTTGAAAAGAGCAGAAGCGACTATGACTAAGATATTTTAGACATAACAGTTTGGTTGTGATTATCAGATACGGCCATTGGTGAGTCAGAAAGCTGGTCATCCAACACCTCCCCCCATTAAGATTGAAGGCGATGACGAGAGAAAGTCTTCAATAATTTGAACGCGATACATTGCAGGGGTCTTACGACTAATTCATGAAAACTTAATATTTAGATGCGAAATACTAAGTTAATCTATAATTATGTAAAATATAAATATAGAACATATTAAATCGAATACAATTAAAATTGATTAGAAAAATATAAAGCACAAATACGAAGTATAATATAAAGGATATAGACTAATCTATGAATATGTGAAATACAACTATTGAATATATGTATATATATGAAGTGAATACAATTAGAATTGAATACAAAAATATAAGGTACAAATGTGAAATTTAGAATATAAATATTGTAGGGATTTTGAGTAAGTAGAGATATTTTATAAAGCAAGAATATTTAATAAAAGAAAAGGAGGAATACAAAGACAAAGTCACACACAATACACTTGCTCACGCGCTTTACAAATTCGCTCCCTAGACTTCTCTCACGACACTCTCCGCTCTCTCTAGACTTCTCCT